AAGGTTAACATAGCAACAAATGTACATCGTTTCGACAGGGTTTTGGTACCTGATGAATCCTTGTCAAAACGTTGTAGATTTGCGGTTATGTTGAACTTATATTAAAGTTTTTCTTCATTACCCATTCAAGCCATCTCCAGCAATTATTAGTCTTAAAGTGGGTTCCTCGTCATCGAATTGGAAACAGACAAAAAGATAACATTTAAAAACATAGCTTGAATTCACATCCCATATCTTCCTGCCAGGAACTATAATTTATGCTCATAGAAATTATAACCATATTTACAAGTACTTTATATAAGTAATGTAAAAAAGATTTGTCACTCCACCACTTGTTAACAGTCAAAAATTAGGAAATTCACACATATGTATAACAAACATTTTTTAATGAAGCAACTGATGATTTTATATATTTAGTTAGTTTTATTATGTTTAGCAACATGTACTTAAAAAATAGTTTTCAGTTCTACAAATTTTATTCAACCCTGAGTAGTAGTAAAAAAAATAACAGCATAATATTCTACTCAAATTTCACTTCAAGAATCACAAAAATAACTTCCATGCATTTTAGAAGAGAGTAAAAGCTTGGAATAGTGGTTTAAATTACCTTGTAACAAATAAATTCATGAAAGGTGAGTCACTTACCCAAGGCAAAAGGAAAATAGTATTTAAATAATGATATTAGGTATATGATCAGCTCCATATCCTGTTTTGAAAAAGAATAAATAAATCTATTACCTAACACAAATCATCATTCAAAAGTAGAAACATCTGGTTCTGATAAATCACAATATTAAAATAAGGAAAAAAAAACATACCAAAAATAAAATGCAAATTATGGACATTTAAATACACATTTCAACTAACCATACAAACTAACTCAGAATGATATGTCATAATCCAATAATACCTAAAAAAGAAGAACAAAGCAAACTTAGGAAAAGCAAATAAGCCTATTTCTGCTGGTACAATGCCTACTACACAAACTAAATGAAAAAATAAAGCAAGTTTATAATTTTACGAGAAGCAATAAACCTATTACTGCTGGTACAATGTTTACTTTAATTCCTTCACTGGTCCAATAACTAGGACGAAGTTGTTAGTTTTAGTGACATTTCATTCTGTCAAGATGTGCTGAGAAATATAAAAGTACTCATAAGTTTTACTGAAGTGTTTTTCTTCTTCTTTTTTTTTCTTTTGAGTTGGTGGAGGGATATTTGTTTTTAGGATTCATATATTTAAAGCAAACTAAATGTAACATTCTAAAAAGTTGTGTAAACACACATCTGATTTGAATCTATGGATAAACTTTGCCTCACATGGAATCAAACTTCTTAACACACTGACACATTGTTTTGTGTAGTATCACTACAACATGCTTTCTGAAAAATACCATGATGTAAAATCTTATGAATGCTTACTTTGTTTGGTATTTTATGAAAGTTAGTAAAAATAAAATTATTGTTAAATTAAATTAGTTAAGTTTCAAAAACGTTTTAATTCATCTTACTTCTTTGTGCAACCAAACCATTAAAGATGACAACTTCAGTATAACTCGTAGAGGCTGTGAATGAGCAGTAACCAAAGAATTTGTGAGAGCTTGATGAATACTTATCTGAAGCAGCATTTAGTTTACCTGCTCTTATGAACAATACAAGTTTGTTCCATTTTTCTTTTTCAAATAACACTGCTTGCTCATAAAGCATTCTAATTTCAGAATTACTGCCTGAAGATAACTCTGAAGCTTGCATAATGAGCTTTGTGTACTTTAGAAGTTAGAGACTTGACATATCTGTGAATTCTATAATGATGGGGTAAGGTTAACAGATTAATATGGTTTTTAGGTATAATCCCTTAGTTACTACTAATAACCTAAAATATTCTTTAGATATTTGGATAACACGTGATACACCATAACAATTAATTATCCATTAATATAGAGCAAACTAATTGGTTATTTATTTATTTGGTAATTTTCTTTCTTCATCCAAACATGAATGTTGGTGAAGAAAAGATGACATAGAGGTCTAACCTATTCTTTGATTCACTACTCCTTCCTATACATAAAACGTATTAACTAATTTTCACAACAAAAAATACTTACATAAACATTAGAAACTCTTTTACTTAGAAATTTGTAAATCTATATAAATGATTTAAACTCATTCCTTATAATTTAATCTTTAAAACTTCTTGACATAAAATCCACCAATCAAAGAACTACACACAACTTTTGAAAGAAGAGTTCAGTTACAAGTTACCTGAATACCCTACTACATAGATATCTAATTTTCTGAGTGTTTTACAAAACTCTAAGTTGAGTTTCATTTATTCAAAAACTAAAAAAAAAGAAACAGATGACGGGATCAGTGACCAACAGTTAATATCAGTTTGCCCCTAATGATGAAAGGTCCACCTTTCGAAAGTGCTCGGGTTATAGAGTTTGGTACTTCTGTCTTCAAATGATTTTTTTAACCTATATGTTTTTCTAACATCATAAGTTAATACTAGAGTTAGTATTCATGTAGTACTTCACTGAAATACACAGAAAAATGTAATTGTTTCTCATCAATTTCAGGTTACTGGAGTCAACAGAAAATAAAATGATGGATGTTTAAATTCTGTCTGGGGTGTTGTTGTGTACAAAAAGACTTCCTCATATGGAAATAAGATAATAAGTAAACTTAGCATACTTGGCCATTCAAATTATAAGAACATTTCATGTAGATTATGATTCTATTATAATGTTCTGTTTCCAGTTTTATTTCTGAAAAATAAAAAAGGCATTAAATTCAGAAGTTCGTAAATTTAAGAAGTGTTTCATTTATGCAGCTGTTTTATTCTTGATCTATAATGCATAAAATGAGTTTATTTTATCTGAGATACCTTTGGGGTCATAAATGTCACTCTGACCATTTTATTATTTTACTGATGTTGGTCTATTTTCTCATGCACTTATATTTTTTATATTAATTTATTATTTATTATTTTAGGGATAATAATAACAATAACATTTTTTAATATCTTTGATATAAAGAAGGTCACTAGAAAGATTTACTGTTTTATTAATTTTTATCATAAAATATGTAAAACAAAATAATCACCGAAAGTAAAAGATAATGACAAGTGCAATAATAAAAGTGTGACATTTATCTATATGAAATCAATTTAATCCATTATAGAACATGTGACAAGAACAAAACTACGCCATAAACAAGAAACACTTCTTATATAGTCCAACTTCACTTTTTATATTATATTCACAGTAGCATATCATTTTGCCTTACTATGTTCACATAAGTTCCTTGACCTCTGACCCCATATTTTAACCTCCATTAACCTGTATTGCTTAGATATTTTGATATGTCATGAAGTACTGTGTGAATAAGTTTTCTGTTAAAAACTAGTCAGAACACTCAAAACAATGGATTTGGCATTATGGTAAATGAGGAGGAAGTTCTAGCATTGTTTACGTATTTTCAGTCGTAGGTATGTTATTTACCTCCATTCACACTACAGCTATTACTTGACTGCCAGGGTTTCTTTCTTTGCCTGTCTAACCATTGATTTGATTTTTTCTTGTTTGCTCCAGTCTTTTCTACCCCACTTAATTGCCCTTAGCAATATTTGTATCCTGACTTTCTACACCTATGTCACTGCACCCTCTATCCTGGTACTGTATATAAGCACCTCATTCAGATAGTGTTATCACTTTTTTGAGACTGACTCAATCCACAGTCTCTAACACCAGCTCTCAGTGGGAAGGAAGGATGGGAGAGGTAAATATTATTGGAAATACGTTTTCAATTTAAGAAAATGTTAACTTCCAAAACATACTTACCACTTCTCACATTACAGCTAGAATCCCACATTGATAAGGTGGAGGGGCCTGAGAGGGCAACCATCCATACAGAAAGTATCTGTGTTGATAGAGCATTGGCACCCTAGTGGGGGAACAGCACTACATACAGAACAGATATGCTCTTCACCCAGGACTTAATTCATGTAATGTGGGTAGAATTTTACATGATTTGTCATCACTGTTGTTCAGGCCCCAACCAGATAGCTGAGGTTCCACTACTTTGGTTTGGAATTATAGGGCCACTGTCCCTATATCCTACATTGGTGTTAGGGCAATTGGACTGCAGTATATATATATTTATATACTTATGAGTGGATCCCAACCTGTAACCTGCATTCCAAGCCACCTGAATCACAATGAGAAGGCAAGCAATATCGAAATGGATAAACCTTCTCAACCTGAAGAAGTCTGAAAGGCAACACCTTATCAAGTTCATGGGATCGTGTATGCCATACTCAACCTGAGGAAACAGAACTCATCTAATCTGGAATTATAAAGATCCATCTTTATTCTCAAAAGGAGTGGCAAGGTAAATTATTCTTGCATCTGGGATTATGGGAAGGATATGGAACAAATTATGTTCAACCATGGACTTAGATGGGACCACTCGGTGTTTGGAATTACAAGGAGACAATAGACCCTCTTCCATTAACAATGTACTGAACCAATATTGATAAAAAAGGGCCACACTCAACCCAACTGGATAGCTGAGCATCAAATCTGAACTGGTATTACAAGTAGGCTCTAGCTTAGGCTGATGCCTCTCCTACCGACATCTGGGAAAACAACATCCAGGGACCCAGGTAGGAAGGCCCCCTACTTCAATCTCTTCTCCAAGAGTGGAGGAAATTCATTCTAACACTCTAGAGGAAAAGCCTCTGTCCACCACACTAGTGAGTGGAAACCGGGTGTGGTAAGGACTCCATAGCTTCACTAGTAGAAATTGGGGGATATGCATGTTGGGGAGTCCTGAGGAACAATGCAATAGGTGAACCAAGTTCCCCAAATCTTTAACAACAAACAGACCCCAATTTATTCAATCCAATGATAGGCAGAGACAGGAAGGATCCCCTTATGCTTTACTTATGATAGTCCACGAGTGGCAGTCCAGCATAGTACAGTTATACCACCCAGTCAGCCTCTAAATGGTCTTATGGAACACCTCATTGCAAGCCTGTTGCAACCTTGATAAAGTATATTGAATTAGTGGTTGCTAGTATGAAATTGGTTTGATAAAAGCACACCCGCCTAGAGAATCCTCTCCACAGACTGGGATCCTGTGAAAACGAGGTAAGTGACCCTGAAAGGTAAAAAAAAAAGAGACAAGCATAGCAATGAAAATACTCACCCCTCTGTGTAATATAGCGGAAGCGGTTAAGGTAGCTATAGCGAGTAGTCAAAAGCCCTCATATGAAGATACTGCCAGATCATGCAAATAATGTGAGATAAAAGTACTGGGGGAGGTCCACATACCAGCCCGCACAATGTTTGCAAGCAGGCAATTCAACCGGGCCACTAAGGATATAGAAATGTGACAAATCCAATTAGACACAACTCGCAGAAGTCTCCTTGCCTTCAAAGAGAGTCCAGAATAAGCGATATGGATCACTTTCGTACCCACCTCGTCAATGTAACCAGGGATAAATCCTGGGAAACTGAATGATCCCAATTAATAAAAAATTGTTGTCTAACATCTCTAAAAGCATTAGTGCTGGCAACAAAACCCTCACCGGACATAAAAAACAATTAAAATATGATTGACCATAGAAGTGAGAAATAGTGATTGGATGAATTGGTGAAAAGGATCTATCACCCTTCCCTGGCTGTCAGTGTCTTAGGGAAGA